AGCCACTAAACTGTTGTCCTTGGGTAAGCCATGCCTCCTCTGTTTCCTCCTGTAACAAGGGGAGAGCGGTACTTTAAAGGGTTGCTGTGAGCATTAGAAGGTTGGCCGTCATAATGTTTGCTCATGGCAGACGCTCCATCAAAGTTGAGTCCCCTCGTAAAGTACTGGGGGACTTTATGGGATGATGGGGTGACTCACAGTTACATCCTGGCCCTCTCATGTGCCAGAAACTGCCATTAGCCTCCAGCCCTTCAGGCTGGCTGCTGGGCTTCTCAGTGGGTTTATGGGGACGTCCAGGCCCTTGCCATTACAGGTATGAGCCACTGTGCCTGGCCCACTTCCTCCTTCTTATGCTGGAATGAATGTTCCTGTCACCTTTCAGACACACGGCCAGTGCACCAGCTGCCCGGCTCCTGAGAGGACACAGCCATGTGGGAGCAGCTGGAATATGGCTCTGGAGATGCCACAGTGGCAGTCACAGGGCTAGTGGATGACACAGACTTTCAGTGACTGAATGAGTGAAGAGGGGAGAGACTGAGGCATGGAGCTGAGGCTGTGGCTGTTCCCTGCCTTGAGGGTGTCTGACTCAGTGATCGTTCACTTCCAATTAGTCAGTCAGTCAACAAACACTCAGCCCACGGAGACAGACAGCATGTGCTCGTTTTGAGTAGTGATGGAAGTGATGCTGCAGCACCTCTAAGCCTCACTCGTAAGAAGCTTGTAGATTCCACTTGGGGCTCCTGAGGCTCCCTTTGTTTTTATTTTTTTAGAGGCGGGTCTCACTTTAGAGTGCAGTGGCAGCGATCACAGTTCACTGCAACCTCCAGCTCTTGGGCTCAAGCAATCATCCTGCCTCAGCCTCCCGAGTAACTGGGACTCCAGGCACGTGCACTACCATGCCTGGCTTTTTTTTTTTCTTTTTTTTTTTTTTGTATATAGGGGGTTTTGCTGTGTTGCCCAGGCTAGTCTCTAACTCTTGGCTGCAAGTGATCCTCCTGCCTCGGCTTCCTAAAGTGCAGTCGTGAGCCACTGCACCTGGCCAGGACTCCCTTTCTAGGGGAAGTCAACCACCATGTAGGAAGGCAGACTATAGACTGTCCCAAGACCACCATGCTGTGACGAGCCCAAGCTAGCCCCACGGAGTGGCCATGTGGAGAGAGATGTCCAGGCCGGGCTCGGTGGCTCATTCCTGTAATCCCAGCACTTTGGGAGGCCGAGGCGGTTGGATCACTTGAGGTCAGAAGTTTGAGAGCAGCCTGTCTAACATAGTGAAACCCCATCTCTACTAAAAAAAATACAAAAGTTAGCTGGGTGTGCTGGTGGGCGCCTGTAATCTCAGCTACTCAGGAGGCTGAAGCAGGAGACTTGCTTGAACCCAGGAGGCAGAGGTTGCAGTGAGCCAAGATCACACCATTGCACTACAGCCTGGACAACAAAGTGGGACAACATCTGTCTCCCAAAGTGCTGGGATTACAGACATGAGCCACCACCGTGCCCAGCCGGCATGGTAAATTTTCACGTGTATGTACCCACATGACTATAACCCAGACCATAATATAAACACGTCTGGGACCAGAATGTTCCCTTTTGCCCACTGCTGCTCAATGTCCCTCAGCTCAGAGATACCCGCTGTTCTGACACTATCACCATAATGTTTTGTCTGTTCTTGAATGTCACCTAAGCAAAACCATACAGGCTTCCCTCTACTGTGGTTACTTCTGCTGAACATTGTATCTGAAAGATTCACCAATGTTTT